CTGCTGGTGCAGAGTGGGCCCCTGTGTGTCTCCCAGGTGGCTCTGCTGGTGCAGAGTGGGCCCCTGTGTGTCTCCCAGGTGGGGCTGCACTTCAGTGGAGGATGAAGTGGGTGCCCTACAATATGTAAAGTGCTTAGAGATCCTTTTTGATGAAAATTCTATGTATGCAAGGACACAATTCATTTTGTATAATAAATGGAACACAGGTAAACAAACTCTTAAAGCATTAGGCATATCAAACGTGCAGTAATTGTACCAAATAAAAACAAGAAAAATGTGGCTTATGCTTTGAAGCCATATACAAAACATTATGTTACATGTGTTGTGAGTAAGGCTTAAACTATTATAAGGACTCTTCTTTTATTCTGCCATACAGTTGAAGAAGGAGCTCCTTCAGTGGCTGGATCACACGCCGAAGGTGGACGTGCTGCTCTCTGTGAAGAGAGTGATCAAGTCCCTGAAGTCGCAGCTGCGCTGGGCTGTGGTGGTGAAGGCGAGCTTGGAGGATGTAAGGCTTGGGGGACGCAAGGGACTGCGTGAGGGTGGGGATAGAGGTTTCACAGAAGGAACAGGTGCAGTCCATGAGTTACTTTGATCATCTGGTTTTGCTCTGGAGCTTGAAAGGCTTTGTTGTTGTGCGTTTCCCAGCCTGCAGGCCCGAGGAGTGGAGACGTCCGGCACAGGGCTGCCGAGTCTAGTGAATGACAGTGGTTTGGCTTTGTCTGCTCGTGCAGGCGGAGGAGCCCGACGAGGGGGAGATTTTGAAGAAGAGCGAAGAGATAGCGGAGACCAGGAAGGCGCTTTTCCAGGAGATTAACCGTGAAAAGGAAGAATATGTAAGCTGTTCTGCATCTTTATTTCTGCCAGGCTGTGTGTACAGGCTTACTATTCCTTTCACGTGCGGATTTACTGACAAACTTCTTCTAAGAGGATTTGAAGGAAGATGTCTGGCGACTTGCAGCTCTTAGTTCCTCTGTTTGACATCTCCAGCTTTTCTATCCTCTGCCAGTCCCCTCCTGCTTCTAAGGACCAGTTTCTATAGTGTGCGGTTTTGTGTATCTTATAGTATTGCTGTTCTCCTTTTACATTTATCATATTGTTTGTGTTTTGTGGCTAAAAAAAAAAAGATCACTAACAATAGACTAGGAAGAGTGTATTGTGACTTTTCACATTGTCATTAAATTATCATATGGAATGCATTACTATTGCAGTATGTATCCGTTTAGGAAAAGCTTTGTGTCTTGGCGGAAAAGGGCTTCCCTGAGCTGCCTCTGCTTTATCCGGAAGCAGACATGCTGAGCTACAAGGTAAGCACCTCTAGAGAGCTCAGCTGGGCCTGAGGTGACTGATGGAGCAGCTGCTGTTCGACCGGGTACTGCCGACATCATTTACAAGGGAATGGCAACTGGAATAATTTAATTCACACTATTTTCAAATTAAAAACCAGGGAAATCCTGGGAATGTACAGTATGTACAAGGACTGAGAACTTGTGAGCATACAGGAAACAGCATGTTGTCTCGAGGGACCTGACCTCTCGCTGGGCAGATGTGAGTAGTGGTGCCGCAGGGATCTGTTTTAGGTCCATTGTTCTTCCTGATCCGTGTCTAAAGATGTAGATTGCGGTGCAGTAAGGGAACCGGTCGGAATTACCAGTGATGCAAAAACAGGGCGAGTAGCAGACGGAAACAGCAGCAGGGGAAGTGCAAACAGACGTGGACAGAACCAGGGACAGGCTGACACTTGGCAAATGAAATTCCACACTGAAGCGTCAAGTGGTCCACGCTGGCAGTAGGAACACACACTGCACACCGCAAGGACAAAGGGTCACAACTGAAAACTAAAAATTATTTTTGGGCACAGAATAGCCAAAGCTATATATACGATAGTAGTTTAGGTGGGTAGCTGCGTCAGCATGCATAGGCTGCAAAGGAACAAGTAATGGGTTTATTCCATGCTGAAAAGAGAAGAAGGAAAACACAACGTTTTGGCCGTGGAGCCTTCTTCAGTTGTACTCTGAACCCAATGAGTTTAGAGACTACCAATCAAACAAGAAGAGGAGTCGAACGGCCTTCTATCATATCCTGTCTTGTCTTAATGCCTAAACCTCTATGAAATTCTAATGTCCAAGGGCTGATGTGGTTCTTGGATCTGAATTTGTGCCTTCAAGCAGCTTTGTGAAAAAGGCTCTTTAGCATGTAGGCACTGGGTCCCCTTGCAGAACTGGTGACTTCTCCAAGGCACTCTTAACATTACAGTCTTAAAAAATGAAGCATGTGTTTAAAGTGGAAACTGCTCCTGAAGATCTCAAGCACTTACATGGCAAGATTATTTAACTTAATGCTTGTTCGTGTAAACTGTAAGCACTAAATATCGACCATTAAAATTGTCAGCAGTGCATCACGCGTACCTGGAGAAGATACAATACACCATTCAGTGTGCCTTAAAACCATGTCGCATCAGACTGTGCCAGTAAGGTGGTTTTCATTAACTGGCGGCAGGTTTCATCCTTCCCCTTGTGTGTTCTCTTCAGGACTCAAATGGTCTCGTTATGAAGAGTTTGGAGCGTGATCTCTTTGATGCAGAGCCATTGAAAGAGTTCAGCAGCAAGAGGCCGCTGGTGTGCACAGAGTTCCAGGGGCACAAGGTTGTTCTGAAGGTAATTTGTGTCTTCTGGAGCGACACGCTTCTCAGTCACCGTCGCCCCTGTGTTCAAGTTCAGCAGCAAATGACAGGAATGCGCTGATTTTGCGTAGGAGTGAAAGCATAGTCATGCACTCTTGAGAATGTGATTAGAACTTTAAAACTGAACTTCTTTCTGGCATGAATTATTAAGTGAGATGTCAGAATGCTGTACGGTGGCATTGTACATTTCCTCACACACTTGTTTTCCCAGTTATGGTCACCTGGAAATAAAATAATTAACAAGGTAACTGATCTAAGAGACACTAGCCTCTCTGGGAGCTGTTTCTCTTCTTTGTGCCCAGTGGGTTGCTTTGACTGCGTTGATGTACTTGCATTGTTTAGCAGTTTGTGAATGTACTCTGTTGCACTTTGCCAAGAGTGCTGCACCAAATAAATCTGGAGTTTAGTTTGTAGTTCTATGTAGGCGGGCAATACAGAGAATTGATTTGCCTTTAAAGCTTAAGAAAATGCAAGACAAGAAGCCATCATGTCTTGAGAGTACTTCAGTCCTGCCTCACAGGACAAAGAAAGGATCACACAGCCAGTGGCAGTAAGCCTCCAACAGGTGAGAGGAGCAGAGCTGCAGAGGTAACATCTGCTGCAGCTGTGCCAGGTCAGTGCCCTGGGTCTACAGCCGTGCTGGCAGGGAGGCTAGAAAATCCGGTGCTCACCTGTGAATGTGCATGGTTTTCCAGCAGGGCCCTGTGTTTGAACAGGGGGCAGCATGAGCTCAGTGGGGAGAGCAGTGGGCATACACAACGAGTTTGCACTCTGCCGTGCTGCCCGGCCGCCGGTGTCGAGGAACACCGCTAATTCAACAGTTTTCAAGCGGCGCACTCATTAACATTATAGTGCAGGAAAACCCATTTTAATGGCAAGTGTTGCATGGTTTTTTTTTGTTGTTGAATATTTTGTTTCTGGTTGACCAAGAAGCATGCTGGATCAAAGGAGTTTAAGAAAGCGTGTAGTTTTTTTATAGCCCAGGGGCTTGACCGCACCAGCCTGCCCGGTCAAGTGGCCTCGTCCCGTTGGCCAGTTTTATGTTCTCGGAGACGGCGGCTGTTTTGAAATGATTCCGTCCTGACCTGGGGAGAGTGTGGAGAGCCGGGAGTCGCGGCTCGGCCGTCTCGCGAGTGTGAGAGGATGAAGGATGTGCTGGCGTCCGCAGGGCTATTCTGTAGACGGGACCACAGAGGCCCGCATGCTGGAGTGCGCGGCCCAGTACCACACAGCCTGCTCCCGCGTCGAGTTCTCCGGACTGCTGCCCCTGCTTGCCCTGTTCTTCGGCAAGGTATTTTCTCTGACCCGCCGCCTCCGCCTTTTAAAGCAGTTCTCATTTTTCTTCCACTTCAGAAGAAATTGCTCGACCAGTTCTAGGGATTGATGCTCACAGTGCTTTTATTTTCCCAGTGTGATCCGCTGGGGTACGTGATGGTGCCGTACGTGGCGTTTGGAAGCCTGAGAGCTGTTCAGGCCTCGAGTCCCTTGGCCCCTAATGTGAGTAGGACGTCGGTGTTCGTGTCCCCAGTGCTGTGTGGACAGATGCTGAGGGCTCTGCTGTTCCTTCAGGAAGTTCCGAGGGTGATGCAGGGAGTGGCTGCTGGCCTGCAGACGCTGCACAACTTCAACATCACCCATGGCTCCCTGCACCCCAGCAATGTGTTTGTCCTGAGCCGCGAGCAAGGAGTAGTCGGGGATTTTGACTTCACGCAGGCGGCGGTAAGCTTCCTCTGAGCCCCGGTGCCTGCACCATGCTCGCGCCGGGCAGAGCCAGTCGTCCTTTCACACGGGGCTCCCGGCCTGGCACCAGCCCCCAGCTCCTCCACCCTGCTGGTGTGTTCCCGTGTACAGGACCAGTGACAGTGCAGGTCATTCCCAGCAATAGTCTGGTCTCCAGCTCGCAGCCCGCTCTTCGAATGGGTGCCTTTCCTCTCTCAGCCCACCCACTATGTTTTTAGGCACGATAGCTTAGCAATACCGAGATAAATCTGGACTTGGTCCCATGCTCTGCTTTGTCTTTGTTAGAGACGGCACTGCTGCCACTTTCAGTTTTAATTGCATTTTCTTCTGCGTAAATGAAGTGTTTCTATAAGCTTTAGAATTCAGTCTGCTGTTGCCATCATAACTTATTCAACCAAGAAAGACCAATGAGCCAGTTCCAGGGCAGGTCATGCATGGCCAGGCCTGGACCCTCCCTCCACCTTGCTTCACTGGTGCTCAGTGGAACATCTGCAGTCTCTCTCCCAACCACACGGTAGCCACGGTCTCGTCCCTTCATGACGCTACGTCCCAGAGCGAGCTGTGTCTTGACAGCGCGCCGCTGTGCTGCCGCTCGCTAGCCCATGTTTGTGTCGGCCTCAGGAGCAGCGCTGTCTGGCCGGCGCGATGGTGGCCGGGAAGCTCAGCCTGGCCGCCCCCGAGGTGAGGAGAGGACGGGCCGTCTCGTCGGCCGCGGACATGTATGCGCTTGGAGGCCTGCTGCTGTGGGTAAGGCACTTCCCGGCACCTCCCGGCGCCTCCCGCCGGAGCGGTCCTGCTGCCGGAGCCGGACGCAGGCAGGCGTGAGCTCCGTGTGCTCCGGGGCACGGAGGAGCCGTTGTCGGGGAGCCCTGCTTGTGCCGGTGCCGGTAGAGTGCAGAGCCCAGAATCGGAGTGATTGGCCGGGGGTCAAGTACATAACGGCAAGCAGCCCCGATACCTCTCACATCCGCCTGCCGCCGTACAGGGCCCTGGGGCCTTCCTCTGGCTCGGGGGCAGGGTGCTGTCAGGAAGGGCCTGGGGAAGGGGGTTTTACACGCATGTCATAACCTACTGCGCCCTGTGTCAACATGCCTCTGGCAGAAGCATTTTTTACACTGTACCAGGAGTGAAAAACACCACCTGCCTGATTGGATGTTTCTTTGGGCAGAAACTTTGATAGATCACTTTATTAGCCATATACCATTTCTTACATTAGGAATTTGTCTGTTTGCACACCCCAGCTTGCTCTCCATGAGACACACAGACGGGGAAAGAGAAGCTTGGGTTCAGAGCGCAGGGTCAGCCATTTATACAGCGCACCTGGAGCAACTGGGGTTAAGGACCTTGCTCAGGGGTCCAAGGGAGTAGGATTCCTCCGCCGGCCGCGGGATTTGAACCAGCAACCTTCCAGCCACAGACGCAGATCCTGCGCCACAGGGCCACCACTCCACCCACTCATGCAAACCTGAGATTCCTCTTGAACAGCCGTTAAGATGTGGAGATTCCAGATTGTTCGGATGGGTTATTGTATAAGTGCACTTAATAAATCAAAAAAGTGCAGAAGGATACCAGCAGTGTAGGGGATGGCAGAATGTTACATACATTACAAAACACACAACATGGCTATACACCACTACAGTGCTTAAGACTCCTGTTGCAATTCATTTGATTCATGTCTCTTTAGCTGAACAGGTAATACGTTATGGTTGCCGTCAAATGTAATCTTTACATTAATTTAATCCTGATGCAGTGCTTGAGATGCAGTGTTTCTCTCAGCTCAGTGGTGGTGGAATATTGGCTGTGTTTGGGGTGGTAACTTCTGTTTGAGAGGATTAAGAGTACAGGGGCTTGCCCACAAATACTGCCAGGTGTGGAAATCCTCCGTGCAGTGTTGGGACTTGAGGTCGGAACCTCCAGGGAATGTAAAAAGGAAAATTCGGTAATCAGTATATTACATCTTTTAGCAAACTTGCCTTCAGAATGCAGGACAAATCCCAGCGTCTGGTTTATTGCGACTGACAAATTGAGGAAAGCGTAGATAAACCTGGACAACCTCTCAGGAGAGTGTTTTTTTTTGTAGATGAGTTTTGGCACCTTCCCTTATTGCACAATTTTTCCGTAAACAACACTTGACAGGTTTGTGCGTTTTAAACAAGTGACTGAGGCAAAAGAAAAAAACTAGCTGCTTCATGGCTGGGAGCTCAGAGATCAGATTTATTCATTCTGAATCAATATTATTCTGTTATTTGTACAGCTAATTGTGATTTGAATTGCAGCTGCATTTTCCCAAACATGACTTTGTGATGAGGGAGGATGGAACTCCTGATACAGGAGGACTAAGCCTGGTGAGTGACTCTGCCCACACTTCCTCTTCCTCTTCCTCTTCTTCCTCCTCCGGTGTGCTTTGCAGGGATTGTAGCAGTGGACCGAGAGGTGACGAAGACAGTTCGGCAAGAGGAGCGGCCATTCCGAAAGACAAGTCATCGCATCGGAAGGAGACGCCTCTAACGCTGTGCTGTGCTTCTCCGCAGGCCAGCGGTCTGCAGGCTCTTCTGTCCAGGCTGTTGACGAGCTCCGCGAGGCTCACGGCGTCGGAGGCCGTGGCCGATGGCTACTTCTCTCGGCCGGCGGCTCCGTGCTCGCAGGCCCAGGGGCCGGGAGCCGAACCTCCCGATGAGCGGGTGAGCTCTCCAGTCACCCCACCAGTCAAGACACAGGACGCCGCGCCTCCCGAGAGACTGGCCTTCGCTGGCCCAGAAGAACATTCCTGATGCTTGTTGTTGCATAGCGACATGTTCCTGAGTTCATGTTCATTATTTTAGTTTTTTTTATTGTTTTTTTTTCTGATGCTGTTAGTTGAAAATCTTGATTTCACATTTTGAACTACAGGGCCCTTTTGTGCATGTAGTGTTCAGGATCTTTTTTGTCTGCAAAATTAAAAACAAAAAGATTTGGAGGAAACCGAAGCTGAAAGGTGACTGTTGTTCCCATGTCTGTTCTGTGTTACTGCATTTCTTTGAGTTGCCTTTCTTGCGTTAAGGTTTATGTTCGAGAAGGCACATTTTCAGGTGTGACAGAACAAAAGGTGCAGAATGCAGAGAACTGTTGGGAAACGCGGGTTCCTAAGTGACCACACTTGTGGAGTCTTGATCTAACGAGCAGCAGCTAGGAGCCGTCTTGTAATCTCCAGCTGGGTACCTCCCTTGAGCATGTTACACGCAGCATTTGTGTGAAGTTCTGTACACCAGGCACATGCACGCAGCAGGGCGAGGCGAGCCGAGCAGAGTGAGTGAGCTGCCCAGCAGCCTGAAGCCCAACAGTGAGAGAGGCTGTGCTGAAGCTGTGGGAGAGGGTGGCTTTTTGTTAAGTGTCTATGTGCCATCTTGGTGTTGCAAGCAATCTGCTGCAGTGCGTGTGAGTACAGCAGCCTGCACATCAGAAGCCTGGCAGCTGGTTAAACTGCATCTCTTTATCCAGTGTTGTGTTTGCGTGTCTGCCCCGAGAGGGGAAGAGTTAATGACAGTCTCGGAGAGATTCTGGGAGAGGTGGAACTTGAGGGAGACTCGCTCTCAGAATAGGACGTTGGAGGTGGTGGGAAGGTTTATCTGCCCCCTGGCTTCTGGCAGTGAGTGAACCAGAGAGCAGGGGTGTAATGGAGGGGCCCTCCATCTAGACGTCCACAGGATGGGTTGGAAAAAAGGTCTTGTCTAGCTGCTGATCTCTGGTTATAGATGGGTTGGAGGTGTAGAGGCCTAGGTGCCGATGTGTAGGAAGGCGGTGGAGTGGGGGAGTCGGGGGTGTCCATCCCGATAGGGAGCAGCATGGGAAGGAGAAACTCAGCTGGGGTAGAACCGGGAGGCGATCTTCGAGGAGGTTGTGCAGGGCCGGAGGCGCTCGAGAGGGAGAGATGGGAGGAGGCCGGGATGCGTCACGAGGACAGGACTCCGGGCCCGAGTACACGGACGAGCTTCAGCAGAGCCAGCAGGAGAAAGCAGTGAAACATGCCTCCCTTCCTGGCTAACCCGACCGGGGGTGTTTGTGAGCACCGCTCTCGGGGGAGCGTGCGTGTAGCAGGGGAATTAATGGAAAAGGTGCCCCCAACAGGCTGGGATGGATGTGTGACACATGTGGGACACGGCTCTGTGAAGCTGCCCCCCCTACAAACAGCGCAGACGATGAAACCCACCTCATTCGTTAGTGTTACGTTGCCGTTGAAAGTCGTGTTTGTGCTGCTTTTGTTCCCGAGATATAGCGCCTTTTCTTTTGGGGGATGTGGTGTCACTCAGCCCCCCTACAACTTCGTCGGGGACCCTAACTGGTCCCATTCGTTAGTGCCGCGTTTGTGCTGTTAAAAGTAGCTTCCCAGCTGGAGATATAGCGCCTTCCTTTTCGGGTGATCACGTGATCATGTACAGCGCCTTTGGCCTCCAGCAAGGCCGTCTGGGAAGTTCCAGCGCTCTGTAGGAGAGTGGGTACGAATGTCAAATGACTGCAATGTTGTTTCTCCGTCTGCTGGGGGGAGGGGCGGCGGCGGCGATTTTGCACTCCCACCAGTAGTTCAAGGTACAAGCTGACAGAGATGAAAGCAGCGGTACTTTGTCAAAATACTGTACCGGAGCTCTACAGTAAAGGAGCCTGGTTCCGTAGTGGAGCGTGTTTAAAATCTCTAGTTCCACAATTCCGCATTAAATTAAGGGAGTGTTGTTCTGGCACTCGGATGTACAAACAAAAATCATTTTAAAGTAGTAATTCAAAATTGTTCATAAACACCCTTAAGTGCTCATGCACGATTCTGTGTAGGTAAAACTCTTAAGGTAGCACTGACAGTGATGTTTTAATCGCAGGCTCTTCCAAGTGCTGTGCTCTGTGATAACCCTGTACTTTACCTTTCAAACGAGATTCGCAGTGAGCCACTTGACAAAGTGTAAATTGCTAGCCTCTAGCGCTTGTCACATAAAATTCCCTGATGGAAAAATGTTCTTTAAAGAAAAATGGTATCATTAGATCTCTAAAGTTCCGTTATTAGATTAAAAGTCTGGCAGTTTTAAGTCCAGTCTCCTCTGTCTCTGAAGACCTATGGACTCCCTGTGTATTATAAGTGTTTTTTAAATACTAAACAAGCATGAATTAACTAACAACTTTATCAAGGCTGATCAAATAGTGACTACCATTAACAGAAGGATGCTGTCTGGAAAGCAGCGGAGCTTGACCTGGTAGTAGTTTTTGAAATCGCCAGCAGGCTGCAGGCCGTTTCCCCGGGCTGGCGCACCAGGGACTCTGTGTTCTGCAGCTGTTGAACCCGAATCACCACTCCCATCTTTGTGAGCAGGTAAGGAGCTGTTAAATGACCTTACCTAGTTGCAACCATGTTACTTATCTTTTCCGCTTGTATTGCGTGGGGTAAGGTGGAGTGCAGGAGGCCCTGGGCGGCAGTGGAGCGTGGCGCCAGGACAGTGCGAAGAGCCGCTGGGCTCTGGGCCTTTCCTGTAGCGAGCACCGCGCACGCCAGCTGGGCGCCGACACTGGGGTGTGCGAGAATACAACGCATGTCATGATCGTGATCTGTAGCGGAAGAGTCATACATCTTCAGAGTGATCGGCCCGTCGGCCAGGGATCACGTCCTGAAGCACAGTCGCAATAATGCTGAATAACAGTTTACCTGCTCGTTCATTGACATGGTTGACAGTTTTATCCACAGCCTGTATTTGACACTCTGAGTCAAGCAGCTTGCTCAGGGGGCAACAGAAAAATGTCTCTCGCCCTCGTTCATCGTTTCTATGTCTTTGTAGAATTTAACTAACGAGCCCCTGCAGCTCTGAGTGCTTGTTAAAGTGTTGTTTGGCACAATGTCATTCCCACCTCTGCCTGTATATTGCTAATGGGCACCAGTTGGGGACCATTCAGAAAACCAGCGGAGCAACATTTTGAAAACAAGCTCAAACGTTTCAGTTTTCTCTGTGCTTTTGTGTTGTCTGCTTATACTAGAGCAACATATATCCCTTTATAAGCTATTTAGCTGTTATTCTTTGCCCAAAAAATGGGATGTCTTTTTATAATTAACGGACATTTCTTTTAAATATTGTAGCTTCGATTGTTGTGCACTTCATTTCCAGCTGTTGAACAGGACGTCCCAACAGCAGGTTAATGTGCAACTGGATGCTTGTTTTCAGTGTTCAAAGTGCAGAACTGAAACTCATCAGCTCTGGGACGAGTGACCAGCCATGCCTTTTCATTTCCCCCAATCGAGGAAAAGCGGTTCCTCGATTCTGCAGGAATCAGTGCAGACTTAATTTTTGGAATGGCTGGATGAAGCTGAAAACAAAACCTAACGTTATTATTCAGAGCAGTTCAAAGGGAATTCTAGGATACTTAGGTTCAATACTTCAAAGGCCCTCTTAGGAAACGAGAGATCTGTGTTCTTCACCGAGGTCAGTGCAAAGCTGACTAATCTAGCGAGAAAGAGGTTAACCTGCAGAGCCAGTGGGGATGTGACAGCTGGTTCACAGGTCATTTATTACAGCCTGTCATGGTTAACTGCATTCGAAGAGGTGGTTCGTCTCAAATTAGGGTGAACAATTTATTAGGAGCACATTGTGCACCTGCTCCTGAGTCAGAAATCGGTGTCGTTCGAGAATGCAATTCAGAAGTGCTTGGCAGGTAAGGATGTGATAGGTGACATTTCAGTTTAGTGTCTCCCAGTGATCGGGCCAATTTTGAGTGGCTTTAGCTGTGTGCTAGACAGGGCTGTGAAGAACGAGAGGAGGTTTGATGGTTTGAGATGTGAGGATGCTGTGCTGTGTGGTTAAGGTAATGGGACCGTAGGTTCACAGCTGTTTGAACCTGAGAAAATAATGCTTTATTAATTAAATTAGCTTGCACCTCTAATCAGAGTGATAATGGGGCTTTAATTGTGAATTTGTGTACACACAATAGCCGTTCCAAACAATTAAGTCTGCAATCCTTTGATCAAGTTGCCAGGCAAGAATGAGTCTGGATGTCCCAGTCGGAGATGTCTGTTAGCCCTCCATGAGGACCCAGTAGCAGCCTTGACATCTCTGGGCAATTAGCACTCAGCCGTAATCAGATGGCCTAATACTAAGCAGCTCCCTTGGCAACAAAAAGTACCTAGAGGGCCTTGTGATGGATTGGCGCACGTTGCCCAGAGGGGGGCAGTCTTGCCTCACGTGGCTTCCCAGATGGACCCTTCGCCAGATCGAGTGGCTCTCTGGTGATGGACGAGTGAAGATTCGTGAGACTGAAGATGCTGGTGTTTCAGCTAAACAACTCAATTGTTTTCTTTCTGAGCTCTTCACTTTGCACACCAGAGCAGTTCCAAACATTGTGTTACATCGTTCACTGTGACTGAGGCAGCCGGTGACAGGTCTGTTGGATATCTCAGACTTCCTGGGTGTGGGGTGGAGAGGAAGAAACCCTGAGCCTGATGAGCCGCGCTGCGCCACGCAGCACAAAGCACACAGCACACTGCCACCTGGAATGACATGGAAGGCTAGAGGAACCCTCTTCCTCTACCCAGGGTGGTCAGTGTGAGGGTCACTGTACCCTGTGTGGTCAGTGTGAGGGTCACTGTACCCTGTACCCATTGTGGTCAGTGTGAGGGTCACTGTACCC